ACAACATAAAATACTCTTAATGCAAAAAGGAGTGATGTATTTTAAAAAATGTAAATGTTTCAAGCTACTTTCTTCAGCATAAAATGCTTTCTTTCAAGATCTCTTTGCCGTAGGACCTAATTAGCACTCTGAAATTTGAAATGCTTAAACGCATGGTTAGTTGTATTATTCACATTTTTGCTCCTTCAGTAGTCTTCATGAAAGAAATTTTGCTGTCATCACCAGCTGCCATGAAATATGATTTACTGAACATGTTTCTGGGTCACAGAGCTAAACCATCCCTTAAATTCATGTAAAATAAATCATACTATTTGATATAAACTCTACTCATTATTTAAATATCATTAGATTGTATGAGAAGGAGGAAATAATTTCAAGGCATAATTTAGGTAGCTTGTTAGAGTTATGAAGTGCTGTTGATGATAAATTAAAGAAAGGTAATTAAAGGAATTGGTGAAGTACTAGATATGAATGTTTAAATTCTCTATAGAGTAATCTCATTTTGTGTTTTAATAAACTTTGTCATTGCAAAGGAAATGTACCACCTGGCTCAATTATGTTATACACATGCTCTGTACCTATATATTACATGTGTACATTAGAGAGCTAGAGAATAAGACTAGGAGGGAAACCTTGTCAGAAATGCCATGAGATGAGTCTTCCTTGCTGCAATCACAGCTGTAAGGCTATTTTTGAAACAGGGAGGACCAGGACTGATTTGGAAGAGCACTAAACAAGTTTGGAATTTACCGTGGATCAACTTTTAGGTGAATCCTTTGACTCTTGGAACCTGCTACATAGACAACCATGGAGCTTAGAATAATAGGATGCACAGAAGATGAAGACAGTGAATCACTGCAGGATCAAATCAATCAAGACAACAGGTGGTGGAGTTGCTAACAGCAGAACTCTTGAAGAACAGGTTAGGTAGCAGCGGCAGCAGGAATCTCCCAGTACTGTCCCCAGAAGCAGGGAGCTCAGATCACCACTGACTGAACCCAACTTTCTTTTGATTATCATACTAACAAAGCATGAACTTTGATGAAACTGGACAACTGCAGCGGTGATAAAATCAGAACTGGCGTCAACAGGCAACAATTCAGCATCAAACACCATCTCTTCTGCCTTGAAAGACATATGAAGCCCAATGTAATGGACTGAATAACTCAACAAACTTTTGTACGGATGACCCATGAACTCAGCAATGATATCTGTCTGTATGTATTTATATATCTATATATCTATATCTATATCTGTATCTATCTATATCTATAGACACAGAAAAAGTGATAGTATATTGGGAACTGTGGGACCTTAGAATGATGTATAATGGTATGGAATAAGGAGTGGATACTTTCCTGGCTTAGCTGGGAGAGTTATTTTTCTTCCTAGTAGCTGGTGCAGTGCTGTGTTTTGGCTTTAATCTGAGAACAATGCTGATAACACACCAATGTTTTCAGTTGTTGCTAAGTTGCTAAGTCCTTGCTGATCAAGGACTTTTCATTCTCTGATGGTCTGCCAGTGAGGAGGGATCAGAGACAGGACACCTGACCTAACTAGCCAAAGGGGTATTCATACCACAGAACATGCCCAGTATGTAAACTGGGGGGAGTTACCTGGAAGGGACCAATCACTTCTTGGGTCAGGCTAGGTATCGATCAGCAGTGAGCAATTGTATTGTGCATCACTTGTGTTTTCTGAAATATTTTTTTTTAATTGCCATTCCCTATTGTTATTATTATAATTATTGTTGGTATTTGTATTATCACTATATTTTACTTTATTTTAGTTATTAAACTGTTCTTATCTCAACCCATGGGTTTTAACATTCTTTCAATTCTCCTCCCCACCCTGCCCAGGGAAGGGGAAAGAGGGGGCTGAGCGAGCAGCTGCATGGTGCTGAGTTACCATCTGATCTTAAACCACTGAGTCAGGTACTTAAGTGATATCCCAAATCCTGACGTGTGACAGGGGATATGCTGGGTTACCTCTCAGGATCCCATAGTCCTCTTCGGACCCAGCAATATGTTTTTATGCTAGTAGAATGAAAGGCATGGCAATGGCCTCATTTTTCAGGAAAATGGCCACAGATTGTTAATGTGTGATTTTGGAGAAGTGTTTTTCTTTGTATTTTACTCAAGTGTAAACTGACAGTTTTACATTTTAATAACTGAATAAAAGTTTTGGAGTTTTAACTATTTAGAGCTTGTAGTTACAATATTAGCCAGGGTGCTGGGAGCATCATAAAGCAGATGCTGGTACTGCTGGTGGTACTTCAAACACACAGGCATAAAAAAGCCCTGAAAGCATCTATTTGCCTGGATGAGACTGCAGTGGCTACCTGTACATAGAGTCATGTGGAGTCAACTTTTTTGGTCTTTGCAGATGGTGAAGATTACTTTTCAGTCAGACTGGTTGCAAGTGCACTGAGCACAAACTAAAAAGGGCACTGCTGGACAAGGCACCTCATGACACCTATCACCATCAGTCCTCAAGTCTCTTGGATGCAAGCAGGGATTCCTTGTGTGGAGTGAGGATTAGTCCATATAAAGTAGGAGGGGAGATGGGCTTTAAACTTCAAGGGGAATGCAGAAGAAGACAGGGAAGAAGAAGCTGAAGACACACTACTTTCCGAATGTGCACATGGCCTGGCATGAGAGCTGCTGTGGCTAACAAATAGTGTAAGCTGCCATTGGTACCTGTGGGTGGAATGGAGTAAAACCACCACTGAAGATGGGTGAATTTAGGATGTGCTGTATACATTTTCAATTATCTGTTGCTGATGAGCCTGTCTAATTATAAAAGCAATCTAATATACAAAAATAATGTATAAAAAAGAACACTACAGATGTTCATCAGGGCTAACAAGACAGATGGAATACTGGCTTTTAAGCTGAACAAGTGATGCAGTTTTTACAATGGTATTAAATAGGGTTTTACATTAAATACACTTTTTTATTTTCCAGAAGAGACTATCTGGTATGAATTATACCAAGTGAAATTTAAAGTTCATGCTCACAGATAGAATGGGTTTTTCTCCTTTTGCTGCTGATGCTATTTAGAGTTCACTTCCTGAGACTAGGTTATCAAAGTCACAGCAGAGAAGAGCACAGAAAACAGCTTGCTCCGGCTTGCGTGGAAAATTGCGAAGTTTCCATTCCATGCCACCAAAGCTGAATTAAACCTCTCCTATTAAAAAAAAAAAAAAACAATTGATTTTTAGAACATAACAACTATTAGCAGCCCTGACTTCCTCAAGGATTTCTCTAACCTTTCTTCACTTTTAATGCCTGTGAGGGAATATTCTCTGAGGAAAAAAAAACATGTTTATCTCCAAATCTGCTTGCATCTTGCTGTGAAATGTCTGTTAACCAAACAGTGTCGCAGATACCTTATCAGACTAAACGGACCCCGGGAAGATTCTGTCTCCTTGGCATAGAAGAGCTCCTGCTCTTAAACTAGGAGAGGAGTGTTGTGGTTTAAACCCAGTCAGGTAATTCGTTCGCTCACTTCCCCCCCTTTCTTGCCCTCCCCCTGCTCTCAGAGGGATGGAGAGGAGAATCGAAAAGAATGCAACTCCCACGGGTTGAGATAAGAACAGTTTAGTAACTAAGGTATAACACAAATCACTATTGCTACCACCAATAATAACAATGATAAAGGAAATAACAAGGGACGAGAATACAACACCTCAGCACCAGACGACATAACTTGCCCCCCTCAGCCCGACCAAGCACCAACCGATACCTCCTCCAACCCTGCAGTATCCCAGCCCTTCCGGCTAACTCCCAGTTACATCCTGGGCATGACGTGCTGTGGTATGGAATAGCTCTTTGGTCAGTTTGGGTCAGGTGTCCTGTCTCTGCTTCCTCCCGGCTTCCCCTCCTCCCTGGCAGAGCATGAGGCTCACAAAGTCCTTGGCCAAACCAAAACATCGCTATCAGTTCTGTTCCCAGGCCGAAAGTCAAAACACAGCACTGCACCAGCTACCAAGGAGGAGAAACATGACTGCTACTGCTGAACCCAGGACAAGGAGTCACATCAGATTTGTCACAAACCCTTCCTGGATCCCTGTGGGAGAGTGATGTTGGTGTTGAAGCTTGCTCTATAAAAGCAAACTTAAGGGCTGGGGGCAGATGCTCGTCACATCAAATGAAGGTAGTTCAGGACATCCCAGACACTTCAAGGAGGGCAAAGAAAAGTGCATATAACTCATCATTTCTTTTTTATGTTGCATTATACATTTAAAAGGGGATTTGTTTTGGGGCTTCGTTTTTTTTTTTTTTTTGGCGGGGGGGGGGGGTGGGGTGGGATGAATGGGTTGGTTTGTCTTGGGGTTTTCTTGCTGCTTTTCAGGGAAACCGTGCTACAAGTGGGAAAGCAATGGTCATATTGACACCGTGTAAACGGAACGCGAGCGAGGGCTGGGCGGCGGGTTTGACCGGGGTTGGGGTTAACCTCCCGGGGCGTGTGTCCAGAGGCGGCCGCTTCCTCCTTTTCTCTCCCCCTGGCCCCGCATTCTCCCTCTGGGTGTCGGGAATGGGAAAACGTCGCCCAACATTCAAGCTCCATCCGGGCTGAGTAAATAAGTAACTAAATATAAAATTAACAACACCATAAACCACCTCAGGAAAGGAAGTGTGATGCTCCTTTAGTGGTACCGGCAGAGCCGGTCCCTGATCAAAGTTTCCGATGCTCAGCAGACGACGCGGTACAAGGTGCCCCAGGCGGCCGCTCCCCAAACACAGCGGGGACGCAACAGGAGGTGAGCTCTAGTCTCGGGTCTCTCTCAGCTCCGACCCGGCACCGCCCGTGGCCGCTGCCTGTGCCCAGCGCCGGATGCCCGCCCCGCGCGGCGCCCATTGGTCGCGCTCCAGCCGCCACAGCCCCTTCGTGGGAAGGGCGGTGCTAGCGTCGCCCCCGGGCCACCGCCGCGGTCGCGAGGGGGCCGCAGCGGAGCCGGGGCGTCAGCGGTAGCAGCAGCAGCAGCGGCGGCGGCGGCGGCAAGGGCAGCGGCGGCGGGAGAGGGAGGAGCGCGTCTTGGCAACGGCACGACACACCCGTGCCCCCGGCCGAAGACGGCGAGCCTCCGCCTGCGCGCCCGGCTGCTTGATCAGGGGAGAGCAGGGTGAAAGACAGACAAACTTAGCTGCGAGCAGCACCAAGCTCCCGCGCCCGCCTTGGGGTTTATTTTTATTTCCTTTAACAGTTCCCGAAAAAAAAAAAAAAAAAAGAAGAAGAAAAGAAATATTACTGTGTTTTCGGCGATCCGTGCCGCGTGTGGAGTTGTTTTTCCGCACACCCCTGACAAACAAAGGAAAAGGGGGAGGGGGACCGCCGCGTTTCGCAGAAGACATGCGTTCAGTCAGGAAGAGGTGGACTGTGTGCACGATAAGTCTCCTCCTCATCTTTTATAAGACAAAAGAAATAGCGAGGACCGAGGAGCGTCAGGAGGCAGCTCTCGCCGGGTAATTGTGGGGCGCCGAGCTGGGAGGGCTCCCCGAGGGTCGGTGTCGCTGTCTAAGGTCCTCTCCGTAGCCCCACGGCGGTCTCTTCAGGTTCCCCCGGCTGTGGCTGGTCACAGGTCGCGCTGGGGGAAGGCATGTGGGGAGAGGGTGTTGTGCGGCACAGGGTACCGGTGCGGGACGGGTTACGAGCGAGTTGAGGTGTCGGAGACCAGTGGCTAGAGGTGAGGGGGACGGGCAGGGCATGCCCGGTGCTGCTCCCACCCAGCCCTGGTTATAGAACCGCGGAATTCGCTTGGCCGAGGCTGCTCTCCGAGGGTCGGGCCTGCTAGAGCAGCGGTGGCGGCTGCCGGAGCGCGTTGTGCCTCGTTTCCTGCTTTGGGAGACTTTAGGGGACAGCGCGCCGAGGTGCGTGGCCGCTGGCAGTTCCAGGTGCTCCTGCCTCTCTGTCCTTAAAGTTTGCCTGGGAGCTGTGCTTAACTTAGGTGCTCCTTGGGGATGTTTGCGGGACATCCTCCTTAGTTCCCGAGGCCCCTCCGCTGGAAACTCTTGGTCTGTCGCCGAGACCCTGGTAAGTATTTTCACTCTCCTACCTGTCTTCTGTTGAAAATAAAAGGCGGAAAGTCCCTTTCCGTGTTTTCGTTTGCATCTCAGTTGTGTTGCAGGTTATGTTTGTGTACGTGGTTGCCTGTATTCTCCAGTTTTCTCCCAACTTGCAGCTGCCGTGTGAAGATGCTGTGTTTACAGCTGAGCCTGTTTTCCCTTGGAGGGGTGTAATTTTCTTTCGTTTTTGCAGAAGGGGTGCATAAATTCCGCGGTGGCTTGGTGAAATCAGCAAACACGGGGAAGAGGCTCACACTTTGTTTGCTTGTGCAGACTGACTGTGGGGGAGATTCTTCCTTGGTGTAAGCCCGTGCCTTAATTTGGAGAAGAGGAATAAAGAGGTTGTAAGTGTGTGTACGGGCCTGAAGAAACGTGGGACAGTTACAACCTACTTCGTGCCGTGCGGTTCCCAGTATTAAAGGCAGAAATTGCATTTCTTTCCCCCAGCTTTGCCAGAGCAGGGTGTGGGCAGCAGGGCCCAGCTGGGGACAGCTGTGCGGCAGTGGCCCCGGCACCTCCCCGGAGCAGGGGCTGCCTCGCCTGTCGGGCTGCATTGCTAATGATGCGATGGTTACTTCCCTTGGTGTTAAAAGATGTTCAAACTTGCTGCTAACTCCCACTTGCTAAGCCTGGTTGTAAGCCTAGTTCCTGCCGTGATGCTGTGGTATTAGCACGCTTACAAGATGTACGTAAGTTTTGGGGTCGTAGGTGTGCAAAAATACGTGTGGAAATAAGTGTAAGGGACATTCAGCATTAAAGATACCCATATATTTTAATATGTACTCCTTCTTGTCAGACTAGAGGTAGCTACTAAAATGATTCAGAAATCAGTCGCTAGGTAGAACCCACATATTTGCAGAAACAGGAAAGCCTTCTTCAGTTTGCGATGTTGTTTTCATGATCTAAAAGGTACTAAAATGAACTAATGATTTAATATTAAAAGAAAGAAAATAAGTATATTTAGTCATAAATATGTATATCCTTAACAACACAGCTTGAAACATAGCTGTAATGTACTTCTGCCAGGTCATTTAGTGATGTCTCTACTTTGGTATGGGACTTCTTGTGCAGTCTTGTGCTTTGGCTAAAGATACTGGAATCTAGCTTCTTTTCCCAGCTTCTCATCCCATCTGTTACTGAATGAAGTAGGAAAAAGACCCCCAGTTGCATTACCAGTGTCTGCTGCCACTATAGATGTCACACTTGCCTTTCTCCTGAGGGAAGGGCTCATGCCATTTGGTTATTTTTGACTGGCCACATGAGCAAGCAAAGTCAGTTTTCTGTGGGATTTTTTTTACTTCCAGAAGTACTAGCAACATAGAACTGTGAATGTGTGAGGTGGTTATTATTAGTGACACTAATCCCAGGTGAATCCCAGACGTTCAAAAATGGACAATGTGCAATTCAAAGTATGCACTGTGTTCTTGTAGCAAGTGTGCTAGGACAGCAATTGTGAAAGCATGCCCTTCTAGATAGTAATGTCCCTTTAAAAGTTAAGTAGTGAAACATACTTACTGCGTGGAATGCGTGTAATCTGCTGCTGATGTGGAATATGCTTGAAAACAGTTATTTGTATTTAATGAACTGTCTTTATGAGAAGATATAGTCTTATAATACTTGTCTGATTGGTCACTGAGGCAATGTAATTCCAAGTGGTTGGTACTTGTCAGCCACAAGTTGCTGTCACACTTTGGCAGCCTTTCCTTTACATCAGAGAGGATTTGCAGTGATCCTAGAAGATACAAAGTAGCCCGAATTTATTTCACAGTTGTTTACGCAGTGAAGGATTTTCTTGAGTAAACTTAATTTTTTATCTGTTAGTTTATTTAATATTACTTTAGGTGACAATTAAATAAAATTTCCCAATAAAAGGGAAAGGATCATGTAAGTGAACACCTTTGTGTTCATTGTAGAACTTTAACACAAAGTGCCTAGGAACTCCTTTTACTTCCTGATCACATAATTTAATGTGGTTTTACTGCATATTCTGTAGGTCACTGCAGATTTAAATTGTGAATATGGAAGACAACCATATTTCAAAGGCTGAGGTGCTTTAGGTGTTGTTGACTTGTTGTCAAGTTTTGTCAACTGTGTTACTGTTCAAGTACTTACTGGATATTGTTTAACCCAGCATAAAATGGAGACACCTCTGTAGTGCTTCTAGACTGAGTGCTTTGCCTGGAAGTATTTTGGTAATCTTTTAGATGTGTCAACTCTATGCTGGCAAATATAAGTAATAAATATAGTTACAACCATTATTGAATTTTCTTAAGGAAAAAAAAACACTTTAAAATAGCAAAAAGCATTACCTACATTCTGTTTTTTTGAATTCAGGGACTTGTGCAGCATCCTTCCATATCCTCAAGTTAGTGATTTATGTAATTTACATACAGATCTTATACCTACGTTACCTGAAGTTGTAAGATTTTCGGTAGGTGGCAGTCTTACTCACGAGTCTGTGCAATGTCAATCTTCAGAGTGTTGGCGTAAAGAGGGTGAGGGAGGGAGTGCTTTGCTAGTAATGCTGGCTTGTTTTTAATGGGGTGTAGAATATTAGTTTATTAGTTACAGGGCTTTTGCAATCATAGCAATTTTTGAAAATGACTAGGTTGCCAGTTTTGTTAATTTAGCTTAATTAATGTCCCATTTCAGGTTAGTTTGAATTTAGTTTGCTGTATAATTTAGCAAATATTATTACTTCATATATATATATATATATATATGTATACACAATAATAGCTCTTTCTAAGGGCAAGGATCCAATTGTTTTAAGAATTTACAGTCACATGGAAGCAAGGGTCCGTGATTCCCTAGAAAGCTTACAGACTCACATCTTTTCCATTTTGCTGTTTGAGTGGCTGGTCAAAAGTTCTGTATGCAAACTAAGTGAAGTTACTGTTATTGGCAGTATTTTGGAGCATGCATATTTAACAGGTAAAGAGATTTCTATATGTTACTGTTACTATTCTGCGTGACTGTTACAAAGTGTTCTGTGTGGTAGAATGATTAACAGCTATGTGCGACCTCGGCTGAATGTTGCTCTGGCATCCAAATGGGAACAATATGGAAGGCAATAGAAACCTATGGAGCTAAAATCAGATTTTAGACCTAACACCTTCAGTTGTGCTTGTGTTGTTCTAGCTTCTCTGCTAAAACTGTGATACCTTATCACATATTCAGTGATCATCACCCACAGCTTACTGTATTTTTTTAAGCTTACCTTACCAAAATTTATGACTATGTTAAGACTGATGAAGAGGATAAGACAGCTGGGGTTGCTTAGATGTATGCATACGAAAGTTTCAGGAAGCCTTGAGGAAATTTTGTAGTTTGTATGCTGTATTGCTGGTCAAAGGATTGAAAGTTAACACTTAATTCTTAGTTTAGTACTGGAATATGGAAGTTCAGAATATGTCTCACAAACATAGTAAAGTTTGGGTGAAACGTCACAATTTGGACTTTATTATTACACCTATTTCATTATAAATATAAATAAGCTCTTAAATTGCATATTCAAGTATTAGTTACAGATGTCCCATACATTTCTCACAGGTATAGTTTATTTGCTTTGGCAAACAGAGAGGCAATTCTTTCTTTTTGTTGTGAATAAATGTATGTATCACTGGTGCTTGTGACATAAATTTCTTATAACCAGACTCAGCCTTGATGTAATTCTGTCTTTTCTATATTGCATTGCAGAGATGGTGAATTGAGTTTGAGTAGATCAATGATCAATAGCTCTGATAAGACAATTCGAAAGAGTGGCTCCTCAATCTTCCACCGTGCTGTAGAAGGTTGGAGAATCAATTCTTCTTTGGTCATGGAAATAAGGTGAGTGTTCTAGATAAAAGCAGTTCATTACGTATTATCTGTAATTCTTTTCATTTCATAATGCCTGTAATTCCTGAGTTCTGGAAAACAGTTGTTTGATTTATGGCTGCAGGTAGATGTTATATAACTGTATACAGAGTTCAGAGTTCAGTGTTAAATGCAAATAAACTTCATTAGACTCCAAAGTCAATCATCCTTCATAAGAATAAATAAAATGTTTTTATCTGGCCATGTCAATCAGACCCTTGCAGTCAGTATCTATATGATGCATGTCACATTTGAATTCTCTAGAAGACTCTTACAGTCAGAGGTGAGAAACTAGCCCTTTCAGGATGTGATTTCCTTTCATCCTGAAGGTCTGCAATAGAACAGATGGAAGTATCCTGAACATACCAATTTTTCTTCCTTAACTACGAAGGGAGCTTAAGGAGTCAAGAGCTAGGATATCAGGTGCTGCAAATCCAACCCTATCTGTGGCTGGCCCAAGTTCTCATGTTGACAGTGGCCATATCTTATGCAGATTTTTTTCTAAATTTTTAGGGGGTGAAAAGAGCCTTAAGGTAATGCTGAGGTGGGAAGGAGCAGTAGCAGAGTTAACATGAGTTCTGGTGTGTCTTAGTAGTTACAGTGGGTCTACTCACCTTGGGGCCTGAGAAGCAGCAGCCTCTAGTGTTTTTAAGCGTAATTATATTTTCCCTGTCTTATTTGGGAAGATGGCCAGTAAGAGAAATTTATGGAGCATGGGTTGGCAGTGTGAAGAGCCAGGAACATCACATTCTGTGAAAAACAATAGAAAATATATATTTTTGGCAGAAATCAGGCACATGGCTGCTCCCCAGACACCTGGGTTTCCTACTGGTGAAGGCCTGGTGGTTGCCCTAAAATGCAGCTCAGTAATGTTGTTTTTTCCAGGACCGTCCCTTCTGATGCAGCCTGTTCCATAAAGGCTAAGTTCTGCTCCAAGGTAGTCCAGGAAAGATAAGCAGATTTTCTGTATCAGTAACAATATTCAAAATTTGTATGCACTCAACTGCCAGTTTAAGTTGGAGAAATACAGAGTAAGTTCAGAATAATACCACTGAAATTCCAGATCATAGGTTATGGTTCTGACAAGTAGAAGAAAATAGCATGCTGTGAATTTACTTGTGAAGTAAATTGATTTGGAAACCATTGAGTGACTATAGGTAGAGACATATAAACCTTTTCAGTTGTTTTGTTGAAAAATTGTCATATTTCATGACAATTCATAATTCTACTCAAGCCAAACATCAAACAAGTAAAAATATTGCAATTACTTTTTGATTATAATTGAGAGAAAATGAAGCTTGGGTTTTGTTCATTTTTCACCTGATCCAAAAGCAAAATACAGACAAAGAGGCAAACCAGTAGAGAATGCTTTAGATTTTTCTAAGCCCGTTACAACATGTGTATCATCTCAATCTGCTAAAATAATGAGTTTCAAAGCTACTTTTTTTCCCTTATTGTTGGATTGGGGAAAGTTTTCTCATTTTATGAATCACTAACATGTTCTCAAACAAATGATGTGATTATGTGGTATTTTTTCAGAATTTTACAGTGAAGGCTGCTTTGTTTTTTTTTTGTCTCTGTAGAACAATGAAATAAAGCATATATCTTGTACACTGGTTTAAGCAGTCAAGCTTTCACTTTATCAGCGTAATGATTCTTCTGTACAGTAGAAAGCATAATTCTGAGGTTATTTAGATGTCCACGTTGCTAGTCTTGTTTTGAGATGAAATAGCTATACCATGAACACTGGGGCAGAGAGCAGGTGTTTTCACTGAACCAGTAAAAGATTTTAGAGTATGTGACAGAGGCCAGAATTTTACATGAACTATATGAAAAGAATCACTGCTACCAGAGAATACTATTCTTTCCAGAAATCCTTTTTGCTAGTGTGCATAGTATACTCAGTTACAGTACTCAGCATTGAGGAAGGAAAGTTTGGCATACTTTTCCCTGAGAAAGCAGTCCCCTATGATAATTTTTTGCATTCTGATATTGTCTAATCGATATGCATTCTTTCACTTTTACAGGCAGTTTACTGTACACCTTTGTTCCTTGTCACAGCAGTAAGAAGCATCTTAGCTGTAAATACTTTTACACTTAGAGATGTACCATCAGAACTAACTTCCATTGTGTCTAGCAGTCTCTTAGAGTGTTCTCATGGTTAAACTAACTGTTCAGCTCTCCAAAGTACATTACATGCACTGTGTAGACTGTGAAGATGATTCATACTCTATTATTGCAACTGTAAATGTGAACAGTGATGTTCTGGTGGTGTAAGGTTGACAACAGCAAATAACAGTAAGAGTGAAACAAAAAAACCCTAGTGCCTGTTGAATAATATACAAAAATGTAGTGATTCTTAGCAGTGGAGAAGTAATTTGTGAAACCATTAGTGTACAGCATAAACGCATTTCATAAAACTTACTATAAATTGCAGAAATGGCAGCTGGTTTTGAGTCTTATGTCAGTTTGACACCCACATTAGCAATTTTAAAACATAGAAGATATTTGATAGTTTTGCTTTGTGCAAGAACTGTTGGTCACTGTTATGTCTGTACCTCCTTGCCTGGCAGCTGGAATATTATGCTTTGCTATTTGCTTTGTTGACGATGGGCATCTTTTCTGGCCATCTTATTTTTGTTCAGGTTAGTGACCAGTCTATCAGCCTCAAAAGTCCTATGAATTCTTGACGAGGTCAGGCTCAGGTAGGAGTCAATGAGTGGAAAAGCTCCTTCATGGCAGGGGGGGTTGGATCTAGATGATCTTAAGGTCCTTTTCAACCCTAACTGTTCTATGATTCATCAGGATCCCTTGGAGGGGATGAGCAGCTTTCATAGGTCACAAGATGTTCTTTGTGACCTTGCAGCCATTAGTGTCAGCCTACAGAATGTAGCAACGATTTTGAGAGGGCAGCAGGCTCATAAGGATTTTAAGCAGGCTTTAGAAGAAAGAGATAGAATTTCTTTGATTCAGGTGGAAATGATAGGTATTATTAATTACTTGAGACTGTAACAGATTTGCTGCCTTGCCAATCATGATTTGTCTTGTAATTTTTCTAAACATTCTGCTTGACAACAACTTTAAAGAAAAATTAGTAATGCCTGTGCCTAAGGGAAGGCACAAGACTTCTTGTTTGGCTCCCTTTCTGTCTGAATTATTTCAGTCATGAAAAGGCGAGAGAATCTGCTACCTGCAAGGTTTTGTGTCTAAAGTCCTTTCTACTTTCTGTGGCAATGTGAAGGTTTTCCAGTTAAGGAAATCAGGACATTTCAGTTGTATGGAAGGCTGTACTGTCAGAAAGGAGACATTTGGCTGAGATACTATAAACATGTCTGAGGAGGTCTTTCACACAGGACTGATGCCAGCACATCTGTGACGTTTCAGTATGTGACTTTCTTCTTCGCCTTATTTTTGATTTAATGTGGGCATTTATGTTGGAAGAAGCAGATGAAGGTTTTGAATCGCAGGGAAAGGCAAAAAAAAAAAAAAAGAAAAAAAAAGTGTTGAGGATGCGTTTAATCGCTTTGTAGTGTAACAGACAACTCAGGTGAGTGGAATTTTCCTTTCAGAAAAGGGTCAGAACTCCTGAGATGTTAACAGCATCAGAAAAAAAGTGCAACTTCCTCCTCAGAAAAGTTCAGATTATTATCACTGTTTGTCTTTCAAGTTAATATAAACCAGCTATGATAACTCCCTGAAGTGTAAGCAGTAAATGCTGAAGTGGTGTTGGAGCAGTGCCATTGCTGTGAAGCTTTTGAAACAACACTTTGGGGCCACTTGCATTGTTTCCTTCAGGGCTTCTTTGTCTTTAAGACTGGGCCTTTCTTAGTTACAGTAAACCTTAAGGGGTTTTTGCCTCTTTAGACCCTTTCCTCAACTGAAAGGTCAATGTTCACTGCAAGTTGGAGTAATTAACATTTTTGATGCCTTTCTTTTGACTCTAAATTGCTTAATTTCATGAAAAAGTGACATACAGCTGCCCTTCATATGGCAAGAAGTAGTTGAGTCATGCTCTTTTTAAAAGTCCTCTTTTCATTTTGCATCCCCACTGAAGGTTTGTGCTACTAGTTGCTTCAGTTAATGACCTTTCTGATCAAGGGAGAATGGGGTGCCCTAAAGGGCATGAAGAGGGCTGGAACGGGAACTTATGTTTGTGGGGTCCTCCGTGGGCTAAGGAATACCAGGAACTTTTCCACAGTTAGCTGAAGTTAGGCATTTTTTTTTTAACTAATCCAAAATGGCAGTTGGACTAGATTACCTTTTAAGTCCCCTTCGAACCCAAACTATTTTATGATTCTAAATGCTGCTTCCCTTGAAGGGATATTCTTAAAACTCCCTGTCCATCAGGTTAAAGCCAGCCGTCTTCAAGGGCAGGCTGTGACCTTGTGTTACCACAGTTTGTTCTTTTGTTTGTTTTTTTTTTAATTAAACTGATTCAGCTGGCTAAAGGTATGCTTTACCCAGGTAGTAGTTCTTGGTGATTTCAAAGGATGAGAGTTTCCAGTTTGGGAGTACAAAGCAGTGTCCAGGCTTGCTAGGGTTAAAAAGTCAAATTGCTTAAAGACCTATGTGAATCAGTCAGAGGAAGTCTGCAGGAGAGCAACTAGAGCAGGAGAGACCTACAACACATGACTTATCCAGTAAAGAAAAGAATGAAAATGGATGGCTTCTTAGCATCAAGTAAATGAAGAGTACTGCCAACAGTAGAATAGTCTGTCCTCCAAAGGCAAGGTATAAGGCACAAGAACAGTCTTCATTTGCTGTGGGAAAGACCAGAGCTAGCATGAGCAGTATGGTGCTGCTGGTAGGGCTAGGGAAGCATTGACATAGACTTCATGCAGAGTTTGCTGAGTCCCCACCACAGGAGGTTGTTAGGAGTATATTAGATAGACATAGACTGGGGTTGATGTATTATAGAATTATGGAATCATATAATGGTTTGGGTTGGAAGGGACCTTACAGCTCATCCAGTTCCAGCTCCCTGCCATTGACAGGGACACTTTCCGCTATACCAGGTTGCTCGAAGCCCCTTCCAACCTGGCCTGTGTATATAGATAAAGGAACATACTCAGTGGGGACAGAGTGTAGACTGGGTAATCACATAGTCCTCTGTTTCCATAATGTGGTTGCTTGCAAGCTAGCCCAGCTTCCTGGGTACGGTGGATGTACTTCAGGGGTGTCCCCTCATGGTTGGGGTCCAGACAAGTCCAGATACCCCAGCAGCAGGGATGTGTGGCATTATCTTGTTCAAAAGGAATTATTTTCCCAGGGAAAGTGTTGAAGGTCATATTTCAGTGTTCTTGACAATGTATAAAAATAATACATTTACTTTTTAAATGTTTAAGTGATTTAGTTTCTTTCCTTAATCCACACACGTGAGGCAGGTGAGGGAGAGTTTACCCACATATAATAGTTGTGTAGGTCAAAGACTATAGTACAAAATAAAACCAGGAAAATGCGCATAAACAGAAGAATGTCACCATGTTACCCCAGAGCAATACGTATTTACAGCATTTGGAAAGCTTTCAGAGCATTTTCAACACTGTCTGTTGCATGTACTTTATCAGATAACTGGGAGTTGTAGTTGGTATTTAAATACTATGAACATCTGTTTCTGGTTACAAAAGCAGAACCTTAGGTCAACCACAGATAGTGACACTGTGTTTTTGAGAGTCACATAAAGATGTTGCACACATCTGCTTGGGGGAGCCACATCTGCGTCTCCTGCCCACAGAGGGTTCAGGCAACACCCTTAATACAGTTTTATTTATCAAAACAAAGCTTGAAGACCAATTCAAAGAAAACAACTTCTTTACACATTTTAGCTTAAGGTTGCAGAACACCTCTGCTTCAGGGTTTATTAAAAATCATTTTTTTTCTTCTTCTAACGCCGCTTACTTTTTAATTTTATATGCAGCTGGTATGGGTTAGCACTTATTTTAAATTATTTTGTCAGGTCTATTTAATCAGAATAACCTTGTTATGCTATTTCCAATGCTCTTTGTGGGACAGAACAGAGGTTTAAACAAGTTCTTATTATTAGCCAGGATCAAGACTGACTGAGACACTCATGTATGTACTTTCAGGTTTTGTCATATCCCTTGGTGGTTTTTTTTTGTCTCAGCACTTAAATGAAAAGGGGAAGTACTACTATCCCCATGGTACAGATGAGTCAGTACCACAGAGGAACTTAAAACAATAGCATGAAGTCTGCATTCTTAATTATATATTTTTTCATTATTAAAAGATATCTGGATACAGTCAAATTAATCAATTAAAATATTTTCATGTCAGCATTATTTTGCATCTCCTATACAAGGACTCTTAATGTATACTGTAATACCTGTGCATACATTTAATTGAATGAGCTACTGATGACTTTAGGTAAGAAAACAGATGAGAAGATACTAAGATTCGGTGACTTTTGCTCATCTCAATATTTTATTTAAAAATAAGTTCCTTACACATCTGGAAATTTCAGCTCTCTTAAATAAGTGTCTAATTAATTCAGATCCACTTGAAACCCTTTGGAGGACTTATATGAGCATGTGTGAGCACATAGATAATTAAGCTTTTACTGTAAGTAACCAAATTAATAGTGGAAGCCAAGGCACTTTTATTTTCTTGGCACTGTTTGCATAGCTTCACTGCCTTCCACTTATGTTTTAAAATAATACACAAGATTTCATGCACAAATGTTGCTATTTACTGTTGGGGTGGTGAGGCACTGGAATGGGTTGCCCAGGGAAGTTGTGAATGTTCCGTCCCTTGTGGTGTTCAAGGCCAGGTTGGATAGAGACTTGGGTGACATGGTCTAGTGTCAGGTGTCCCTGCCCATGGCAGTGGGGTTGGAACTAAATGATCTTAAGGTCCTTTCCAACAGTAACTATTCTATGATTCTATTTGTTTACTAACAGAAACAGTATTAGGACTATTCATTCTAGGTATCAGGAATGGGTGCTTCAGATTATTAAAGTGAATCTTCTGGTGATCACATGTGACTTTTTTTATGCAGAGCCCAAGGATCCTGTGCATTTCATGGTTTCTTTGGCTTTTTGAGTCTCATTTGTGGTCACCCCTTCTCATGTCAGAGTGCATGTGAACTGAGTCTGGATATTCAGCAGATGCTAACTTTTGATGCCTTCATCTTGTCCTTTACTGTCACAGCTCTTTTAGCTCTGTTCTTAGGTCATGAATCATTTTAGTGATTTTTAATACTTCTAGATTGGCCAGTTCCTTTTTTTCTTGCTCTTTCCCATTTTGTATTAATTTCTGTATCTCTTGCAAATTATCCACAAAATGAAGCTTAATACAAACCCATGGAGAGTCTTTCAACTTACAGGCTGAAGTGAAGTCTTCATCTTCCTTTTGTCTGGTATTACCAAAAGCTTTAGACACTCAGGATTTTAAGACTGTTTATCCTTCTCCATTAAGTCCCTCATATGCTTCAGCACAAGCTGTCTTTGGTCTGAAGCAGCTTCATTCATATATGACAGGTATAACAGACAGACCCAGGCAGCCTCCTTTCTTTTGCTCTTTTCTTTTTTTTTTGGTCAAAGTTTAATAAACGAGAGGATATACTTGAAAAAATATTTTTAGCATGTTTCACTTCCTCTGTGGCTTATAAGATCAGTTTCAGGGTAAGTATTTTGTATCACTGGTTGCAAGATTCAGACGTATTCTTTCGTCTTGAAGCAATGACACAATGGTTTATGAGGATAGTGTTCCGATAGTTCATCCTTTTTTACTTGTGAGGGATTATTTCCCCTTTATATCTCTGAGTCAGTGTTGCAACTGCTAGTGACATCTCTAGTTATCTTTTCCTGTTTTGATCTCCTCTAAGGAAGTTCTGCTGTAGAAGCTTATTACGTAAAAATAGCATTCTCTTACTCAACCAAATGTCTGTTCTGTTTTAAATTCGCCTCACCTGCTGACAGCTGTGGAAAATACAAAGTTCTTGTTTTTCTGCTTGTCTTGTTAGAGTTGCAGAGGCAGAAGTTCTATTTGAATTAACACATAGTGAACCCTGCCCCAGCTCAGCACTCCCCATCTCTTCCTTACGTTTATTCTGCTTCAGTATGTGCTTCAGTTCACATGTGGTCTTTATGTGTCTTCACAAACAAACATGCTTTGCAGAGCAGGGATTAACACCAGCCTGTAAGGTTTAGCTTATTTGCAACCCTGAGCTAGCAGTGGCTCAACTCTGACCTGTATTCCTTTTAAGCTTTTTACAACAAGGATAAGTGTGTACTGAAAGCTGCTCAACATGACCAGCGCAAGTATCAGTCATTATACAGTTGCAGTCATTAAAAGTGTCTTTTTTCAATTTAGTGTGTGTGGGTTTTTAGACCCATGTTGTCCCCCTTCCCTCCCCCACCCCACCCCCCCGTAAGCACGTACTATTACTGTAACTTTTTCAGCTGACATTTAAGCAGACATTCTTCCTCTGTTACTTGCTGTGTGCTGATAGTATACAACTATTTCATTACTGTAGTTCTCTTGACCCATGGTAGCCTGTTAAACCGTCATCTTGTCTGAACCCAACTATAATTAATTGCAGAGAAGAAAGATAAAAGGTGGGCTAACCTGATCATTAAAGCAATGACGGAGTTCATAAGTGTTTCTGTGAGTTCAGTTAACAGCTTGACTAGACCTTGAGCTGCAGTAGTTTAATTTGCAGCATGTTTTTAAGCTAATTTTGCTTAAATTGGCACAAAAGACTGTGGGTGTTCGTATTTCAAGTTAATTAGGATAACTTTGGCTGAACTTCAGTTAATTAGGATCAAGTTTATACTAAACTGAATGTTTTCTTGTGGTAAAATAAGAATCTGTAAGAAAACATGGGTATTCCTAAACCAAGCTGATTTTTGAGAGATGTGATGGTAGTGAAGCATTTATTTCTTAAATCATGAATACCTCATATATTTAACTATGTTTCTGATTTTATTTCAAATATGTGTTTATTCCAAAGTTTTGGAGAATACTCAAAAATAGTATGCCTTCCAATTTCCAAAATTGTCTTCCCTTGGTCTCTCAGTGCCTTTATAGAAGGTCATTAAGCTCTATCACTGTAGTATTTATATGTCATAGTGTAACAAAGATTTCAGCTCTGTCCTAACAGCTTTGCTCTAACTCCATCCTAGAGCATGGGAAATTACTCCTTAGTCTGTCTGACACTGTCTGCCCTCTGCTTTACCTTGTTCTCACTGAACAGTCTGTATTACTTAATAGTGTTACTTAATAGATAGACTCCACATGAGCAGTGAGTGCTGTCTTTTATCTCTGCATTTTTCTATCAACCCAGAAAAAACATTCTTCGATTCTTGGATGCTGAAAGAGATATATCAGTGGTCAAAAGCAGTTTCAAGCCAGGAGATGTAATCCATTATGTACTGGACAGACGTCGCACCCTTAACATTTCTCAGGATTTGCACAGCCTTCTCCCTGAAGTTTCCCCAATGAAGAATCGCCGATTTAAAACCTGTGCAGTTGTTGGGAATTCTGGTATCCTTCTGGATAGTGGATGTGGAAAAGAGATTGATAGCCATGACTTTGTAATAAGGTGAGTTTTCATCTGCTGTTGAAGGTATAGCCTGCTATGTTTATTGGAGAAAAGCTGGGAGAAGTGTTTTAATCTCAGATTTCAGGCAGTATTTGAAACTAATCTGAAATGGTATCCTTTACTGTGTGATTCTGCAAATTTAAATACGTGCTCATATTGTTGACAAGAGGATTATTTTTACAGTGAAAATAAAACAGGCAGCAGAGGAGAGAGGTTTGTGCTACTTATTTTTGCTGTTTGTTGGTTTTATTCCAGACAAAATAAATAATATTCTTATGGAGGCCTTGGTAGAACAAATGCAAAATGTTTTATCTTTAAAAAATACTCTTTCTTAGCTCTTGACTGATAAAGATGGCCTATCGTAAAGTACTACATTACTTATGTGCAGCATGGGGTAAAATTTCAGCATGATGTATTGATGTTGAAGCAGATGGCTGCCGTTAAGGTAATTGGAAGTCACACATCTAAATCCTTTCACATTGCTCTAAAAATGTATCCCTGAAGTTTGGGAAAAAATGTTACGCTTCACCTGTTAATTCATTCTTCAAACACACACAATGGAATGCCTTTGAACTTCACATATTAACAGGAAATAAAGAGGAATGCCTGGCCTAATTTGACAGCCTGGCATTATATTTATATAGAGAAAATTGGACAAAAGATGGGTTCTTTTGCTTTTGAAGCAGAAGTTTTGATTGGTTTGGTTTGAGGAAGGGTGAAAGAGCAGAAAACAGAGGGGCAGTGACAGAAAACAGTATAGAAATAGTTATCATTGCGAGTAATTTGCTTTTCCTTTTCTCATGTTGAGGGAGGATGGTGGCAAAAAATATCAAAAGGCTATGGAAAAGAAAAATAATAGTTTTTCACTACATAAATCAAAACAGGATATACTCATAAAAGTTGCATTTGGAAAGTGTACTAGCAAGTGGAACTGAAACAGTAACACACCACTCTTTCATTTTCCTTACTTGTTTTGCTTGTACCACTAGTCTTTAAAATTAGCATCCTTATTACAGAAGAAATCCCCAAATACATACCACATTTTTAAACCACATTTAGCCTATGACATGGTTTATACTCTTTCAGAGATTAAATGTGATTCATTTAACAGGACTACAGAAAAATTTAGATACTAGGTTTTCCAGACGAAAATTTTCTTTCAAAAGGCAAGCAACATGTTTTTACTTAAGTCATGTGCTGAATTTCTTTGAAGTCATCTCCATGCTTTTTCTTATATTTTAACTAGCCATGAATCCCCCCATAGGGGATTTTAACTAATTCAAGCCATGTGGAGTAAAGATGTTCTTAAAGATTAGTGTATGAATAAAAGAATGGTGAAGCTTAATAGAAACATTAGGAAGTTATTGTTGCCGCTCAGTTATTTAGACTGGAGGAACATCTTATATGGGGTGTAACTAATAAAATGATCAGTATAACTAGGCTGATGATACAGTGGATAATAGACTGGGTCAGATAAGGAATAGAGTTCTTGACACTGTGGCCCATAGAGAATTTTAATACAGTGAAATTTTTGGATTTACAAATCAAAGTTAAAACATTTTAGAAATTCACAGATTATCTCATAGGTTAAACTGTATGATATTAGGATTATGGTATCAAAATACACCATGATACTCTGTTACCTTCTTTGCTTTCAGCTGATTTCTCTAGAAGTAAAATGCACTTATTCTACTCACCACCTGAGGCTGTTCTGAAAAGCAGTTGCTGTCTGTACTGCATGCAGCTAGGTGAGCAACATTATTGTAGAATCTCCTGGTGCCGAGTGCATTATGCCTATGTGCTGTGACAAGTATGTCATGCTGTTTTTGTTAAATATGTCATACAGTTGATTTTAATAGTACTGTATGTTCTTTTTGAGATCTGAAACAAAAGAATGTGTTTTTGAGAGAGTTGTTTGTTAAAGCAGTAGTTCTAATGTTAGTTCTAACACTAACAATACCATTAATTTAATAGAAAACTGATAGAGAACATCTGAGAAAGTGAAGAGGGCACAATAGGCATCCAGCAGTATGTGCATTACAGTACAATAGACTCAATAATCCTGAATTTTAATGCTCCTATAAAGGTGGTATGAAGATGTTAGCAATGACTGATAAAGACACAGAATATATGGTTTATTAAGGGTAAAGAAAATTGTCACTACCCAGTACTTAAAGTAATTTGTTTGATTGTATCTGTCAATGTCTTTGAAACTAATCCAAAGTTCTGGTAACTATCTACCTTTTATACATCCATGCCTATTCAGTGCCTTCTATAGAACAATGTCTTTCAAAGAACATTGATCAAGTAGAGACACTGGATAATTAGAATACACCTATTATGAAAAATGTTTAAAGATAGGCACCTAAACTAGAGTCAGTAAGTATGCCTGCAAGCCAACATACAATTCTGCCAGCAAATTTTGCAAGTAAAACAGTGCAATTGTTCTTCAGGCATCCATGTGCCACTGTTTTCTCTCCCCTTGTTAATAAATAAATTTGTTGGTTTATCCTGTGCAAAAGGGAAGGTAATCTGACTTCCTCTTTGATGCCTTGGTTTTGCGGGAAAGTAATTGTGATATGAGCAGAAGACAGGGTATCTGTTCGGAAGCAGAAAAGTCAGATCTTCTAACCATATCATGAAGCCATGATTGCTCATCTAAAGGGAACAATTTAAATTCTTCTACTAATAGTAATACATGAGCAAAGAGTGATAGTAGCTTCTTTCTTCTCTATTGTTTCTTTAGCTGATAGCGGAAAACAGTCATAAATTTGTCAGTGTTAAAAGATTTAAGATATTAATGTATTTATGTTCTGGAACTTCTGTTTCTGTAACTTGTTTCAGCTTTTATGTTCAAGTATTTAATACACATTTCTTGGATCATAAGCATTGCGTCAGTGGAGCCTGCATATACCTTGAAAGCAAAGTTGCCGTAACAGACTTATTTTAAAGCATGATTCTTTCCTTCAAAATAACATTTCAGTATATCATGGCTAGCTCATTAGACCTTTTTCAGCTCTCAACTGTGGCAACTCTATTCCTACAAATTATTACACTACATTGAAATATTAAATGAAAGCAGAAGAAAGCCATTGTCTTCACATGTTCTTGCACAGCCATTAAGGTGCCTGAGAAAAGGGGAGCACCAGTGTAGCTGTTTGGTGTATCCTGTCAAGTTAGACATGGGTGGCTTCCATCTCTGGAGAAACTTGGAGAAGGCCTGACTTCTTGTGGCTACATTTTCCCTTTTTGGCTTCACCTCACCCCTTCTTCAGCTGCTGGAAGGGTCCTTGCATGACCACTACTCCAGGAAGCCCACTGTGGAGTGAAAGATGATACGGAGATGTCTTCTTACAAAGTCAATCTTTACCTCAGTTACTAGGTAGCACTTGGTGCTACTTAACACTGGTAGACCACAGTAATGGGTACCTTCTGTAAGAATTTATAATTCCAACTTTGGTGCACCTTCCTTTTCTTTAAAGGGAAGTTGATTCTTAAGTAGATGATGTGGGTGAAGATGTAAGGACAGAAGTTTAGAAGGCTTAAAAAAAACCTGTAGTTTTATCAGAAGCCAAACAAGTATACAGAGCATGTGAGAATCCATACCTTTTACTAATTGTTAGATTCAGCAGGGGGAAATTGGAGGTTTGTGCCTGGGTTTTTTTTGTAAATCTACCTTTTTAGGGGTAGATGTGTGTGAAAGGTACTACGGTGCTTTGCTGCTGCACACCTTTGTTTGAAGAACTGGATGCAATTTGGTTTTAAAATGTCAAGAATCTTTGAATTCAAGGTTGCAATTTTGATTCTTAGAGGAATCTAGATATGAACCTGAATATAAACGCTTGCAGACTATTCAAGAAGGTGTGTGGGTTATCAGTACTATTTTAAGTAATGCCTTATGTTTCAGAAAAGTTTAATATTATGTTCTCCAGCCACAATCTAATTTTAATGTTTTGGTTTCTCAGAGTGTATGTGATTAGTATTGTGTGATGGATATTTTTGGCTTTGGACAAGGAGGAGATATTAATGAAACAAGGCATGTTTCTGCAGCAATTTTGTGCAGCTTGGGCTTTAGAGTGGTTTCTAAATATTTATTTCAACCAATAAACTTCATGTGCACAGATTGTGAAAAGATTAACAAGTGTACAGATTTATGCCCAGTTCTTGTATTATTACTGTATGAAGAACATGTTCTCAATGTCAAATAAAATGGAAATAGTTATCACTTTAACTCAAACAAATTTTCATGAGTTTTATTTAAAATTAACATGAAAATACTGGTATATGGTCCATGAATATTATGTATTGGACATTTGCATGCATATGCATGGAATTTATTAGTTTTATTAATAACCAAGCTAGTTCAACTGAGAATCTCTGTGGAATAACTGACATATCATTTGAGCTTACTTCTGTGGATATGATTTTATTATTATTTTCTTTGTTAAGCCCTGGGATATAAAAGCATATTATGGATGTGTGTTTGGGCCATAAAGGGGTCACAGTAAACCCAGAGCTGATTACTTTGATGTGTGATATAGTAGCACATACTCCATTCTTCAGTCTTTTCTTATGGCATGCAACTCTAGCCGCTGGCAGTTTGGTTATTTTCTCCCAAATTTTTCTTAATATATCCCGGTGTAATCCGTATATGCAACAGAGAGATGTGGAAGAAGCAGAATTTCAATCACTAAGTCTGTATATCTTAGGATCTAAGTTATTCTTCAGATACCCAAAAACCATGTGATGCTTCAGACAGGTAGTGATGTTTCACTTTCATCTCAGATCTCTTCTTAATAATAGCATTACAGTGCGTGTTCTTGTTGAAAATCTTCTGCTATCACACTGAAAGCTTGTTTTGGGAACCTCTGCATTTTTACTGTGAATGTTTTTTACATATATTTACCTTTCAGTATCATGATTATACACAAATACTGTGTAAATTAGGTGGCCCTGTAAACTTACTCATTACCTAAATCATATAATTGCTGCTTGATAGTAGGTTGCACTGAGGTTTGGATATGGTCTGGGCTGATGTCATGGGAAGAACACAGACTGCAGCATTAATTTGAGGTGCCTTGCATATTATTGCCCCCTTCCAAAAAAAAAACAAACAACCAAAAAAGGGTTTCATTTGTTGTGTATAAATTCCTAGGCACATAAAGTAAAGTTTGTGGTGCAAGCTCCTCATCATTAGTTGTCAATACCTTGTTCTGTGTGTTACTACAGATAAGCTAGAATTAAGGAATATAACAAGTTAAGGGTACTGAAGTGCTTATTACAAAGTTGTTCCGTTAATAGTCTTCTTAGTTTGACTTAGAAGAAAATAAGTATGTGTTTATGTGTATCTCCGACGCTTTCTTGAAAGGGTCCTGAGAATTGACAGGAGATCATTGATGTCTGCTATCAAACATAAAAATTCCAACAACTGCATGAAACTGTGGCATAGCATAAGAATGCATTAGAGGTTAAGGTAAAAATCTCTGAGGTAACAAAAGCTATTTACATATTTACATATAGTACTCAAGACTATATACAAATACACAATAGCTAGTTTTATTAGACCTGAAATACATAATAAAGCTGGGGACAAACTTTTTAGCAGGGCCTGTTGTGATAGGACAAGCGGTAATGGTTTTAAACTAAAAGAGGGGAGATTCAGGCATTATGTAAGGAAAACGTTTTTTACTGTGAGTGGTAAAATACTGAAACATGTTGCCTGGAGAGGTGGTAGATGCTCCATCCCTGGAAACATTCAAGGTGAGGTTGGACCTGACCAATCTATTCTAGTAGTGGAAGGTGTCCTTGCGCACTGCAGGGGGTTGATGACCTTTTGAAGGTTCCTTCTAACTGAAACTATGCTGTGATTTTATGATACCTTTCTATAACATTTTCTTGAACTCATCTGTAAATATAAATTACTTGGTACTAGCAGTTGAGGATGTTGCAGTTCATTACTAGCACATAAACTCCTGAACTCACATGGAAAAACTTCTGATGTAACTGCTGCATTTAATCCCTGCTGAAGAATGTGCTGATTTTAATTAATGGGGTTTAGCAGGTGTTTTATATTTTCTGACTTTGTGGATAACTATGGAGTAAATACAATTCTCATTTAATGAGCAGTAAAATCCTTCCTTGAAGGAAGTAATCACTAAGAAAATGAGAAGGAGCTTAATGAGGGTAATATTTTTATAACTTGGTGAACTACAACTCATTTAGTAATGTTTATTTTCTTTAAAGAGCCAAAAACTTGTGTAGAGCTAGTCTTTCATTCATGTTCTACTAAAATAACAATCTTAGTGTACTGCTAACAGCAGCTAGTTCTTTGGAAACAGAGCTTTTCAAAAGCGCAGATTTATTTATTACATTATTTCAAACTTCAGCACTGCTGCTAATTCAAATTTATAGAACTGAATTTTTAAAAAAAGCAAAGGTTTAGAGGTGCTCAGCATTTGGAAATCAGAATGCCTTGCCTACCTCTAATATTATAATCAGGTATCTATTTTGAGATAGTAAGATTTGAAAAATATGACTGATACAGTAAATAACTATTCATAGAAAAAAACATTGTTACTGAGCACATTTGAATTGCTTATTACTGAAGTTGTGCAGTATTTGATATTAAGTATACTGTTGATTAGGCAGTAATGACATTCAAGGTAAGCAGGCATTAGAATTAATAGAATACTACTTATATAAGGAATATAATAATCAGCAAATGTTTTGAAGGACCTGCTTCTGACATTGCTTCTTAGAATCCTTCACCTCAACAGAACAGTTTGCTAAATTGTGAAAGTAGCTATCAAGGTACGTATTTGGGGCATACCAGCTACAGGCTGTTTCACTGAGGATGTTTTGGAGGTGATTAGTTTCACTTGGATCACACCAGTCACTGAAATCACAGTTAATTTCTTAATTGCATTTTGTCACCTGTATCCAGTGCTGCTGAGGTAGAATTCTGCCTCTGTGTGAATACATATATATGTATTTATACAACTGAAGTAAAAACCTGCTGAACAAAGGCCTAATGAGTTCTGTTTCTCAAGTTTAGAAAAGAGTATAAAGCTACTTCAAAACTAAACAAGATTTGAAGATGAGACATTGAGGGAAAATTGGAAATATTAATATTTTCAAAACAATAATTTCTAAATTAAATGAAAATAATAAATGTCAAAACATCCAATCAGCTGCAGTGACAAAACTAGACACCAAAACACTGAACATTCATTTAACATGGAGTAAAGTTCATTTGAAAATCATATTTAAATACTGTATTGTAAAAACAAAAAAAAAGGGCAATGACTAGCCTATATAAATTAGACCTTAAGTGGCTGTCTCAGCTTCCTTTAAGAGTTTGAACTGTTGGTAACATGATGACAAACAAACCCTCAGGAAAGATATCAGGTGTTAGAAAACATGCTCTTATACATAAGTGCTGCTCAAGCTGTTGATGCATTTGAAAGCATGATGACGTGGTTTTCAAATGTACAAAGAACTTTTCTCTTTTTTTTCTCACAGCATTATGTACATTGAGTGCTTTAAAAAAAGTGCATTGAATAATTATCTAAATCGGATAAAATGCTCATATAATGGTGGATAAAATCACTACTATTTTTTTCTCATGTTAAATTGAAATGGGCTTGCATGTTCATTTTCAGCTTTGCTTTCATGCACACTTTTTTCTGAGTTAATGTTTCATATTTATTTTCATTTTTCCATTAATTTCTTCCTCTTCAGGTGCAATCTAGCTCCTGTGGTGGAGTTTGCTGCTGATGTGGGAACTAAATCTGATTTTATCACCATGAACCCATCAGTTGTACAAAGAGCATTTGGAGGCTTTCGAAATGAGAGTGACAGAGAAAAATTTGTGCATAGGCTATCCATGCTGAATGAGAGTGTCCTTTGGATTCCTGCTTTCATGGTCAAAGGTGGAGAGAAGCACGTGGAGTGGGTTAATGCATTAATCCTTAAGAATAAATTGAAAGTGCGAACTGCCTATCCATCACTGAGACTTATTCATGCTGTCAGAGGGTAAGTGTCTGGCAAAGACTGGTCTGTCCGTGGAACAATGAAGCTTGTAACTAAAATTCCTACCTGGCAGGAAAAATCTCAAGTAAAATGTTAAAAGGCTTATATTTTTGTTATTGTTGTAATAGATTGCATTTATGGTACAATAAATTTGTTTGGTAATAAGTGTATTCCACCCATTTAGCCTGCTGTAATGCAAACACTTTCAGTTTAATGTATAAAAAAAAAATTTATGATCATTATAGTGATAAATTAATGAAAAAATAGTCTGAATTCAGAGGATATTTGTGAGTTACTGAATCAGGGGACAGTCAAAGTGCTACATAGGGGTTTTGGGGGCAAGATTTTGGAGATGAAAAGGAGAATTTAAATAAGGGGGAAGGTTACAGCCATGTAAATAATGAAGCCTAGCAGATCTGAAAATAATGATGCCCTTCCTAAAATGTCTAGGGTTTTGTAGCGATCTTTCTCCTTTTGAATTTGGCCAGATGCTTGGGCAGTTCAAAAACATGATCAGAATGACTGAAAACATTAATGCAGCAAGTTGTTAAAAAAAAAAAAAATAAATAAATTCAGCTTGTGTTCCTTGAACTATGCTTTCTGTGAGATTTTTGGTTTTGGAGATGCCATAAAGTATTGGTATTGGCTTGTATACCAGTTACTGATTATGTATTGGCCTAAAAAGTTGATACTGTTAAAGCAGCAGAGGTAAGATCAGAAGAGATGTTTAAAATACTACCAAAATCTAGTGTAAGAGTAGGAGAATAATGTTTAGAAATATGTTGTTCTTCAGGATGTTAGGACTTCTGAGTATAGGACTTTGAATGAGACTTTTCTGCTTCTGCCGTGTCTCAGATAGATTAACTGCTGTATTCTTCATGTGTACACTTCTGGCATAGGGAGAAAATAATTTCTTCCCTTTGGAATTTGGGAATCCTTTGAAAATTCTTTATTTTTTTTACTGTGTTGCTCCATTTCCATAGTTACTGGATAGTTGTTCTGTTGCACATTTAAACTTCAGCTATTTATGGGCCTTGAATGTGTTGAATTTTCAAGTAATCAAAATGTCTGTAATACATGGGTTACAGGTGTAGTAGGCTTTGTGTGTGTATAAATCTGAATAAGATTACTTCCAGTTCACAAACAGCTGTTCTTATTTCCATTTGCTAAATCTGGGCAAAATTATCAAAGGTAAATGGTAATTCAGAATGTGCAGTCTTTCAGGTGACCAACTTCAAGGTCCTTTAGGGGGCTTTGTCTTCAAAAAAAGAGTTAGCACCTACATGGTGTCTGTGGAAGAAAGGCAGCAAAAACTTTGCCACCAGAATTGATGCTGGGGATTTAGACTGCATTTCATATTATACCTATCAGTGTCATCTGAAATGACTGCACAAATCTGTCAGATTGTTGATTCTGTGCTCTAAAGCTTAGGTCCCCCACTTCTAGCCTTTTTGTTTAATCACCTTGCTTTCCCTTTTTTTTTTCATGTAGGAAGTAACCAAATATAATCTTGTGTTCTTTACTTTTTTTTTTTTTTTTTAATCTGAGTAAGAACAAAGCAGGAAGTCAAATTTATCTTTGGTCTAGATCTTGACTTTACAAAGTGAGATGCATGAGGTAAATACATCTTTGTGAGTCAAGTTCGGAAGTGGTTCAGTAGCAGTAAAATGCTTGGAAAAATATTCTTTAGATTTCTTAGACAGCAGCCTGTAATAATGAGGTTTATATTACAGCAGTTAAATCTAGGGGAAGAGGATTGTCTCTTTAAATGTCAAATTACATCTCTCCAAGTTCTGTTGGGTTTATATGTCAAATGGCATACCATGTTAGTATGAGAAATTAATAACTAAAAATGGTTCTCAAATTAAATGGGTCCTAAGCTAAAAATTTGTATTTTCTACAAATAAGTAAAATAATGTGAAAAATAAATTAAAATTTAAAGCTGCATAACCTGCTTATCAAATCAGTTCATTTTGAGCAGTAACATTTGGGAAAGTTTAAGCAAGTTACAACTGCTAACTTCAGGTTGAAACTAATGGACAACTGAGTCTGCTGCCATTTAAAACAGTGTGTGCAACTTAATTAGTTTTAAGAAGAATCTTTGTGATAGTGTATTCTGTCTATTAAGCTCATAATTATGTCAAATTCAATGTAAACTGATGATCTGTGAGCCTGTGAAGAGACACTACCTAGAAGGAACTCCTTGTTTTATGAATCTCAACTATTTTTGTGTGTTTGTTTTGATTTGAGACATTTATATTTGATGCTTTTGCAAACTCTTCACTTGCAATTTTATGTCTTTTGTGACCGAGTTAACAGTTATGACCTAGTGACAGTCTGTGGTGCTGCAAAAAAAAAGGGTGAACTAAATAGTGTGAAGATTGCTTTTACTTTGTGAAAAGCAAAAATAGGAAATCTACCAACAAAATGTGCATCTTAAAACACACAGGAAGACCTGTGCAGAGCATCAGATCTCCTTGTAGAGTGCCTAAATATATATACAAGACTGTAAATGCCTGGCTTATGCTATGTGCCTTTTAAGCTGCAGGAGGGAGATGCCATTTGCTGAAAGCACAATAAGGAAAGCTGAACTGCAAGAAGCAGTTTTCATAGACTCTTACTTCACAAGGAAACTACTTTCATCTGCAGCCTTTGTTTAGTAGATTGTGAAATAGTTCAAATAGATCAAATGTAGCTCAATGAATTTCATTGAAGGCTACCGAAGTTTAGAGCAGACAAATGGAAATTTGCAATCACTGTACTGTATTGATATTTAGAACACCTCCAAACTCCTCAACCTCCATAAATGTAACTATTCACTTCTTTTATTTCCAGTTTCTTGTCTTGGTAATTCCATAGTGTTCTGGCTTTACTCTTGATTTGAGTATGTCTATTTTGCAATAAATAATTATTCATATGAAGCTAGTAGGAGCTGTTCTAAATTAGGCTTTGAAGATAAGAAAATCAGTAAAGAAATTCAGTGTGGGTCTTGTGTTGCTTTTTGTATCTTGAAAACCTCCCAGATTTTTAACTACTTAAGATTTTTGTTAGACCATGCCAAAGACATCATACTAGGAGGGCCTGCTGAAGAGCTGTCCTCAACTTGAAAGCATATAAAAGGTGGAATTTTATGTTTAATAAGCTAAAAGGTTCCATTAACCTGTTTCAGACCACTTATGCGCCCATGCTGTTTTTCCTGTATAGAAAAAACATGTAGATGATATTGATAGCAAAGGTCTGTAGCATATTCATATCATTCAGTGGGTTGAAATGCAGCTTGTATTTGAAACTTTAATGTATTATATTGCAACTGCTTATCTTCATAATCCAACTATATAAAACACTGCTACAGGGCTGAAAACTGCCTAAAAAACGGTAACTGGCATGAAAAGTACAATTATAAAAGTACAATTATAAAATCATCTTTTCTTTTGAAAAAACAAGTTTTCAGTGTAAATTTAAATAGATATCAAGAGTTCATTGATTTAATGCACGTCAAATTATTAAAACATAATGTTTTGTGTGCTAAGTAGTTTAGTAACTAACTAATTATCAATAAAGTTCATAATTCCAGCCTGACATGTAAGTACTAATAGAGGTGCTTATTGCTGAAGGGTACAGGCTGGCAACCAGGAAGTCTGGAAAATATTGTCTCTATTCCTTTTTGTGTGTATTTCCTTCATCAGTCTTTAAAGCATAAGGCACAGGCACTTTCTAAAGACAGAACATTACCTTTCTTAGACTTCTGATCTAGTGAAGCCAAATCCTGTATTGTTTTCCATAATAGGGCAGTTTTGCTGCAGTCACATGCAACTGAAAAAATGATGATGAGATGAATGAGATGATTATGAGATGAAAATCTTGCTCCTATTTTTCATTCTCTTTTAATGAAAGTAACTTCCTGAGCAGAACATAATATTTGGGAGTTGCAGTTGATCAATCAGATAGTAAAATAATGACTGCATTCTAGGATAATTTTGAAAAACTATTTTCTCCTGTCCATTTGTGCACTATTTTGGGTCATAAAAGAGTAATATGGTGTTGGAAAAAGAAATTACTTTTTTTGCAGATCTCTTCCATATTAAACTTCAGCAAATTATGGCAACTCCTCCAAAATCTCAAAGGGATTCAAAGTAAGAAAACCAGATGGTGCAAATACTAAGTCCATCATGATAATTACTTTTTTAATCAGTAGTATATTTTAAATAGCTGTTGGAGTCAGATTTTTTACTTCAGTAGATCTAGATCAAGTGGTTTCATGTGATAAATTATTTTCTCTGTTTTGTTTTGTACTTCTTGATAAGCAAGTTTGTACTTCAAGTTAGAATAATGGATTTGGAAATCATCGCACGATTTCTTCACCAAATGTTTCTAAAGGCTGTTTTATGGAATTTTGAATGTGATTGTGCATATCTTATTGACAAAATAATTGAGGTAATCAGTGCATAACAGAGTTCAGGATAGAACTAGAATCTATAAATGAAGACCTTAACTGATTAAAAGGATCTGTTTGCTCTATAATGCCACTGCCAAGAAGGTTAATTACAAAGTAACTAATCATGAAAAAACAAAGCAACATTTTTTTTAAATTTAATGTAACAACTAATTTTAGAAACTTGATTTATTAATATGCCTGAGATTTAATGCTGAACTCTTTCATTAGTATTATTTTTAATGGTATTTTCCAAGTAAGGTGATAGTCTTTAAGATGTGGACAGTGTCTATATAGGGTCTGGGCTCAGTAGCAGAGCTCTAATGGAATATGCATTAAACAGCAGGCAAACAGGAACAGAGCCTCCTGGGATTAGAGTCCAGGTCTTGTTTAATTCCAGTGGTGGCAGACAACCAAACCTGAAAGTAGTATCAGCAGATGCTTTCTGCTATGGATCTTGCCTTGCAGTTCCCTGGAGAGAGTAGAGATGGCTCCTGAGAATAAGAATGTTGCTAGTACATTAGGTGGAGGCCAGAGTAAAATTCCAGTGACTTGCACAGGTCTTCACCTG